TTCCTTGTTACTAAAATTGATTCTGAAGTATGATTTCACTAACTCAGATGGTGCAGCAACTGTGGCCGTTTGTCTTGAAACAACAGCTGTAATGTCCACATTTTGACTTTTTTCTCAAAACAGATGTTCGACTTTAATCTTGAAATTTCGACTTTATTCTCAAAATTATGAATTTAGTTTTTCTTAATGTGGCCCTAACTATATTTCTCTGTGGATTTGTATATTTAAAAAAAATGCTACAGTTAATTCTAAGTTTTCAAAGAAAATTTAATGATGGCTTAAAACTTTTTCCCCTATAATAAAACTTCAGACCAGGTGTGACCATCATCATCATCAGGTTGCTCCAAGTCACGTTTAGCTTAGCACACTTTTAAAACAGCTAACCTAGCTCCATCACAAGTTTAGCTTTTACTGAACTGTTATATTTGGAATTGTACTTTCTACAGATTTTATTTAATTGCATTTCATCTTAATTTCTAACATGTAAGTTTGTTTTTATTTTTAATTTGCAACAAATATTTCTTCAAAGTCACTTTAAGCATATTTGCACTGCACAAGTCACTTACAAATGTGGATTGCACAACACTGGACATTATATTCTTCATTTCCTGTTAATACTTGTACAGCTGCTGTTATTGTGTGTGTATATATATATATATATATATTTATATTTCTTCATACATTCTTATATATTTCTATACTGTGTATTGTATATTTTGTTGTACAGTTATTTTATTTTCAACTTTAATTTTTATATTTTATTTTATTCTTTCCCAGTTAAATTTACCCTTCATTCTAATTTGTGTTGTACAGTTATTTCATTTTTAACTTTAATCTTTATATTTTATTTTATTTTATTCCTTCCTAGTTAAATTTACCCTTTTTAATTTTCATATTTATTTCCTATCTTATTCATAGCCTTTTTTTTTCTTCAGATCACGAGGAGTTGTCTAAGCATTTCACTGCATATCGTACTGTGTATGTGACAAATAAAATTTGAATTTGAATTTGAAAGTGATCATTAGAGCACTCCTGATCCTGACTGATTAAATCCACACAGAACTCAAATATACACACATATTGTGTAGTATATCACAGGGCATAAAAAAAAGCCTTGGATTTTTAAATCTATATATGCCATTAGATAGGTTTGTACTGAAAAGCTTATCACTGACCAATAACAGTGTCTCCTAAGTGTTTATTTTAAGGTTACCAGCTTTACTGAATATGTAGTTATTTGATTCTACTGGTCGTGGTCATCCTGATAACCACGACTACATGCAGTACATCTTTATACATGTGTGTGTGTGTGTTAACCTGTATGTGGTGTATGGTCCTGTCAATGGCCTCAGCGAGTAGCAAAGTCACAGTGCATCCACCGAATCCTCCTCCTGTCATCCGGCTGCCAAAGACGCCCTCCACTTCCATGGCTGCAGACACCAGCTCATCGAGCTCCCTGCAGCTCACCTCGTACAGATCTCTGCCACAGGGACATCGAGTTACAACATGCCTGACAGTGACCTATACAGTAACTCATTTGCTATCTGTACCTCAGACTGTTGTGGCTGTCAACCATATGTTTGCCAAACTCCTTGTATTCTCCTCTTTCTAGAGACTTAGCAGCTTGGACAGTTCTTTGGATCTCCTCAATTACATGGCGAGCTCTTCTGTAGGTAACATCATCCATCCTTCCCCTGGCCTCTGAACCGATAAACAATAAACAGGGTTAGCTTTAACTGATGAGTTTAAAAAACCAAAAAAATATATACAGTCATCTAAAAGTACTGAAATGCTAATAAGTGCTTT